AAAAAAAAAAAAAAGAAAGAAAGGCGGCAAATCGAAAAGTTTTAATAACACGACTATTTATTGGGACGAATAAACCACAGCGATGGACCGTGAGTTATATTGATGTTTTCATGGACAGCCGTTCCTATAGTCTAATAAGAACGATCTTTAGGGTCAATTTAGAGCATATCCAGGGGTGGTTCCATAGAATCCCCCGTTTTGTGAGATCTTATGATGCCAAACATGCATGTTCTTTACGTGGTTTTTTAAAAGTCCTGGACCCATCACTGGTAATGGAGTGGATGGTGTATGAATTTCAATAGAAACAATCTGATAATTATCTTTAAATTCAACCGATCCTAGAAAGTGAAGATATGAAAACCAATCATCCAATCACGATTGGAAAGTTTTACATATAGCTTAGCGTAATTGTCAGGCATATAAAGGCCGTTGACTTATAAGGTATGGTACTTCTTCGTTTTTGTTTTTCCTTGGGAGACAAAAAAAAAAAAAAGGCTTTTTCATATAGTAATGGCCAATCACCATGCCATATCTCTGCTCTGTACTCTCAGTTTAACAAACCTTTAGCCAGTAGTAGGAGTTCAGATAGCTTAAGTAAACAATAGCTAATTATTTGTTAAAATATTTGGGTTAAGAAAGTAGTTCAGTCATAAAATATCAGTATTTTGAAAACGTAACTGAAGGGCAAGAGTTTCCAAAATTCTTAAACAATAATGATAGAGCTACTTTCAATCATCTGGTACACAAAGGCAACAAATCAAGCCATCGAATAGACCAAGTTCAGGTAAGTATAAAGCTCAATTTTATTTTACGATACAAAAGGAGAAAAGTAATTTACACTCTAGAGACGAAAAAATGAAGGGGGTGAGGTTAGAGCGACATGGGTTCCATTTTCCTTTTTTTCGAAAAACAAATGTGTGACAATGCAAATTAACCAATCATACAATTATTTAATCATGAAAAAGAATCTTTGTCTCATGAGCTAAAAAAACAATCTATATCAAACCAAGAAAATTAACTTCAGCAATGGAAAAAAATCCGTCAATACAGCGCCATAATTAGATGCTAGTATGTTTTGATTCATTGTCAATTGTGACACATCTTTTGGTAAGTCAGTGATTATTCATGATCACTTGCGGTAATTGGAAGAACTTTAGCATTGGAATGTATATTATCCAAAGGGAAGTTCAGGTACGGCTTATCTTTCAGATCCCATGCATCTAAAGAAAATCTCACAAAAGCTGTATGCTATTATATGATAGAGGAAGTCCAACAGCTAATGCGTTATATCATTCGTTATCATTAATACTTGGATTCACGGTCAACTTAAACATCCAATAAACGTAGGACTATTTACAAAATTCGCTTTGACTTTTAGATCGTCATTTACTTAATGTTTTAAAAGACAAGCTTTATCAAAAAAGCGCAAGAATGAATTTGTTAAATAATTGCAGTCCACATTAGCTAAGTTATTCCATCAAAAGTGAATGCCAAAAGAAAGACTGTTATTCCATCAAAATCCGCACGAATCAGCTACGAGTTATTCCTCCTTATTTTTATCATTTGATTGCCATAACTGCTGAATGTATTCAGCATGATCTAAATGTATTCAGCATGATCAACATATGCTGCATCTTCCTTCAATTCCAAACATTTTGAGTGTTTTCTTTAAAAAAATACTTAATTAAAAGTGTGACTAAAGCCGTTGGTTGAAACCGGTTTTCACTTATAAAAAACTTAACTCAAAAGAGTAAATAATCTATATTGGTTTGTTCAGTGTGTGTAAATCCG